GACGGAACTCAATGGGAAAGGAAAGGATTCTGATTTCAACCGTTGCGTATATTAGCTGCGACATGAATCAAGATGCTATGAGTGAAAAAACTTGATTGACAGATGATCGTTGATATATGATTGTCCAAACTTAGGTGTTCAGGCTGACGTATAACTAACTGGGCTGCAGAAGATAACGGAAAAAAAATTGATGGAAGACAGCATTTTTTTTTTTATAGAAATGTTCTAAATTTTGCGACAATATTGTCTGAAAGGGTACATTTACGACTTTAAGCTCTGATTTGGACTGGATTTAATTAGATTTTAACTGGTTTTAAGCCATCTGTAAATTGTCCTTAGGTGGTTGTGTGACCTGTATTGCCCTGCGTCGGACTGGCGAACTGTCCAGTGTGTAACCCCGCCTCTCGCCATTACAGTGCCCGAGTTATAGGCTGGTCTCGCCGCCACCGTGACGAATCATTTATCATGATTGTTTGGTTTTAGACTTGGCTCTGGGATGCTCTTAAGTGATTCTTTTGGATCAGATCTTGGTGGATTCTTCTGCAGTATTTACCTGCTGGTCATGCTGTGACCAGCTTTAAACCAAGACAGAACCAGACTGGTCAGATAACAGCTACTGGTCAGAAAGATGGATCAGTCTATGTGCTGGAGCATTGACTCACGGTACTCCTGCATGTCGATCTCGTGCACGGCGTGGATGTCGCTCAGGTAGGCGACCCGGGCCTGGACCTTGGTGCGGCCCTCCCTCGTGTTTTTGTCGATCCTCTCGATCATCTGCTGCTGCTTGTCGATCCAGTAAAGGTGGTTCCCGAACACCGTCAGGCCCACCGGCTGCAGGATGTTCGAGTCAGCAATCACGATCCGATTGGCTCCTGCAGCATTTACCAAAATAAAAGCACCAGGGAGTGTAAAAAAAAAAAAAAAGGGCGAGAACTTCAGGAACAAAGGCAACAAAACGGGAGAGGAGCTGAGAGGTGAGGCAGGAGGGGGAGGCAGGAGGGACAGGGGGGGGACACAATTAACATTTAACTGGAGCTCCGAATCAAACACAGCCAGATTCCAAAGGGGTCGTTCCCAGAATCTGAACCGTCTCCTAGGTTACCAAAGGAGATGACATCCTTTCTGCTGGGCTGAACTCTATTTAGATAGCTCTAGACTCACATATCTTCCAGAAGGCATTCAGAGACTAGATCTAGAATCCTTCGACCTAGAAGTGTTTAGTTCTAGATTCTGTTCTGAATTCAGGACACTTTAAAGTCGCAGTAAAACAGCAGATAAGTCCGAATGTTCTGGATTTCAACAGATCCAGAACCAGGCAGTGATAAATTCAGATGGCTAATCCAGAATCTACTGCTTTTTTTAAGCCATAATTTAGAGCAGGTTCCGTCTTTTAATAGAACATCTTGGAGCTGAAAGCTTTTCCTGACACAAACTAGATCAGGCTTTAGATCCGGTCAGGAAGATTCCTGGTTTAAACCGAGCCGCACACCAGAAAGGCTGCGATGGATCGGAGCGTGGGAAAGCAGAAACCCTCCCCTCGTCCTCCTGGCTCATCCTTTTAGGTGAAGGAGGACCTGAAGTAGATGTAGTTCTGAAGAACCTGCTCTAAGATATATTTAATTTGAGGAACATTGCTTTTAAAAATGCTGGTGGTGACTGTCTGGGATTTGCTGGATCCCTGGGAGAACTGCCCCCTTACAGACATTTAGAGAGCATCAGGATTAGATCCTTTTGATTCTGTTTCAATGTGATCAGAACCAGCTGAGGTACTGTGGACGTCCTACAGGAGGCGCCACACATCCTGAAACTGAGACCTCAGATTGTCTGAGAGATCAGACTCACCGGACAGGTCGCTGCTCTCGATGCGCCGCAGGTCCGAGTCCACCCAGAACAGCTTCCCCGCCTGGTTGTCGATGGCCAGAGCGGCGGGTTTACCCAGCCCGCTGAAGAACAGAACCTCCCGCTCCGTCCCGTCCAGAGCCGCCCGCTCGATCTTGGGCGAGCGGTCCTGCAGGTTGGTGAAGTACATGTACCTGTAGAGCGGAGGAGGCAGCGGGCTGTAAACACCTGCATAGAACCGGACCGTGAACCCGGACGCCGGAACTGTCCGAGCACCACATACTGACCCTTTCTCCGGGTTGACCACGATGGCCCGCGGCTTGTCGTGCTCGCCCCGCAGGACCACGCCCACTCTGCTGCCGTCCGTCCGGCTCACGTTGACCACGTTGGTCACCTCGCTGGTCCAGTAGATGAAGCGGCTGTAGATGTCGATGCTCAGGTCGTACAGCTGAAGGCCCGGTCCGTGTCCGAGCCAGGAGCTCGACACCACCGTTACGCTCTGACAGGACCAGACAGAAGACAGTCAGCTGGATCAGAACCAACAAACGGATCGGTTCCTGTCCAATCACTTCTGAAAGCAGCCCAGAACCCAACCGGTCCGACTCAGTCAATCACAAACTGGTTTGTTTGATTACAGAATAAAACAAAATCAAATGTAAAAAGCTCAGGAATCAGAACCGCTCCAGAACCAAACAAAGTAAAACCTTCTAATGTTTCCAGCAGCTCCAGGACTTAAATTGGACCCCTTAAATCTGTGCCGGATCAGCAGCAGGAGTTTATGACCAGTTTGAGCTACTGGCACCTGGTTCTGCTTTGGATGCGGTGGTGAAATGGACCGCATCAGAGTTCTGAGCGGTTCTGAAAGTGGATTTCACAGCTCTGAGGTGATGAGGGAGGATGACGATGATCAGAACCAGCAGTACCGCTGCTTTCTGGGCTCAGGTTTCCTTCTGGGTTTACTTTCAGAGCCGCCGCTGGGAATAATTGATGGAAAACCTGCTTTATTTAGACCTACAGACCACCGGGGAGACGATCCGGACCCGCAGTGTTTACACAATCTGGGTCCGGACCCAAAACTCCATTCAGGGCTGCTTTCTGCCTGGCTGATCTGGAATCAGCTCAACACCTCCTCTCTGATTGTTGGCCGTCAACTCTGCTGTGAATTCTGGGTTAAAACGGAACAGATGGGAAAGTTCTGGAAGTCCATCAGAACCAGCAGGATTCCTGAAACTGAATCAGAGGTGGTACCTGGTTCCCGTCCTCTTGGGACCTCCGGATGTTCTGTTTGGAGTCGATCCAGTACAGCTGCTTGTCCAGCGGGTCGTAGTCGATGGCGCGGACGTTCTTCAGGTTGTGGATGGGCAGGACGATGTCCGGGCTCTGCTGCTCGTCGATCACCATCCGGTTGATGGCCGCCTTCTGGCTGAAGAGCAGGAACGATGTGGGAGCTGCAGGGAACAAAGACAGGTGGTCAGAGACGAGGCCGGATCCGACCAGCAGCAGAAACCTCTGGCTCCGAGTGCCTCACCGCTGCACGTCTTGTTGTCGTAGTTCAGGGAGAAATGGGCGGGGCATCCGCAGACGAAGCTGCTGGGCACGGCGAGGCAGAGGTGGGAGCAGTGTCCGTTGGTGGAGGCGCAGGCGTTCCAGCCGGCCTGTCTGGAGGAGTGGAAGACCAGGATGTCCATCACGTAGTCCAGGTGGCCCTGGATCAGGGTCCGGTTCTGACCGCTCGACTTGTTGGCCCGCTCGATGCTGCGGTGGCTCCAGTCCGTCCAGTAGATGTAGTCCTGGTACTGGGTGAGTCCGAAGGGGTGGGGGAGGTCATCGGCGATCACCTCGCGTTCCTGACCTGGAAGAACAGAAAACGGGAAAATCAGGAAGGAGACGAGACGGAAGCGACGGCAGTTTGGGTCGGTCAGAGAGCAGAACGAGGCAAAACAGAACCAGCCTATAAAAACAGTCCAGAACCGACCAGAATCTGCCTCAAACAGAACCAGAGTCAGCCACACCGGAAAAAATCTAAATCTAGATAGGTCCTCTTTCTCTTAAAATAAGTGCTTTTGTTCTTGGATTGAGGAGACAGACATTTTACCAATGGAAGAAGACAATTTAGATGTAAAATAAGAAAACACAATTGCATATTTCAAGTGCATTTTATCTAATTATCTTATTTTAGGAGTAAACAAACTCATTCCATTGGCAAACTATCTCATTTACCTACTGAAATTAAGGGTAAATACACTTAATTCAAGACATTTTAACTTATTTCTAGATCGTTTTTCCAGTGCAGGAACTGGACCAGGACCAGCCAAACCACCACCACCGTCAAACTATGTCAGAAACAGTCCAGAAAGTATAAAAAAATAAAAATAAAAATACATTTTTTTAGAACCTCTCAAAATAGCTTAAGTCTTTTTTAAAAACCAGTTGAGAAGTCGCTACATTTCTAAATCTAAACAATCTATATGATCATCCAGTCTTAACACCAGAACTCCCACTGGCCGTCAATTTGACAGGCGACATTTTTCCCAATGAAACGCATGAGTAGTGATGATGTCATCAACTGAATATAAACCCATTGTGGATATATAAACCTTAAAAATGTCTTATATAAATTTTTTTTAAAGGCTGCATTGTCTGCTATTATTATTTGTGGTCTAAATGCTTATTAAAAATAAATCAGTAAAATAAGACTTTTACTACAAAGGTTCGAAATTTGAAATTGCAGTTTTATTTATACACTGCAAAAACAATCTAGAAATAAGGATACATTTCTTAAATTAAGTGAATTTCCCCTTAATTTGAGCAGGTAAATGCAGTTTACAATGCAGTTGTGTTTTCTTATTTTAAATGTAAATGGTCTTATTCCATTGGAAAAGTGTCTCACTTACTTCCTAAATTAAAGAAAAAAATGCACTTATTTTAAGAAAAAATGACTTATTAAGATAGCAATTTTTTGCAGTGTAGGAATTGATTGATTACCCTTGAAAATTTCCCCCAGAACACCTTTTCACATTTATGACAAACATCATATGAGCGTTTTTTTTGTGCAGCTTTGAAGCAGCTGCTCTTCAGCGGCGGAGGGGATGTTTACCTGCTGGTTTTACCAGTTTAAGGATAAAATCTCTGCGTGAGACGGTGACGTTCAAACTGCTCCTGAACAAAACCAACACGTTTATAGCTGCTATGTCCAGGAGATCGTAAAATACAGCCACAGGCCACCTTTGCTTTGGAGCTTTTAGAGAATACTTTCTAATCATCTGATCCGACACATTCACGCAAACCTCTGTGTGATTGTAGTAGACCACAGGCTCTGGTTTAGTGTACTAACTGAGGTGTGGGCAGTGCTAACCAAAACTTGAACAAAAGTTTTACTATTGTCTGATGATTTAATCATACGTCTGCGTTTTCCCGTGGATGGGTGATCATCCTCGGACTCACCCAGTCCTCCTCATCCGCCTGAATCGCTAACATCAATATTTTGAAGCATTTCTAAAGCCTGTTTCTCGGTTAGATTTCTTCTGAAAGCCATTTTCCCGTATTAGAGTTCTAGCTAGATTGTTAGTTGCTAGGCAACGGTATGAATGCCGATCACCCGCGGGAAGAATTAGCAATGCCGTCAAAATGACAGCTGTGGGAAATGGAGGTAAAATTAACCATATTTATTTTTACATTTTTATTTCATTTAAAAAAACTACATGAAAACGAAGAAAATATAGAAACAGGAAAAGTCAGTTACCTCAGCAACATATGATTAATATAAATAAAGTTCTTTCCCTTAAAAACCTCAGAAAAATGACGGCCTCAGTAGTTCTACAGTTAAACAAGCAGAACCTTTCTGGTATTAGGGCCAGGCTAGGGATTTTTTTTCCCCTTCTATTTCGGGAATAAAGTCGTAACATTATGAGAATAATGTCATAAAATTATGAGAAAAAATTCGTAAAATTTCAAGAATAGTCACAACGAGAATAGTCAAAATTACGTGAATAAAGTTGGAAAATTGCAAGAATAAAGTAGTAACATTATGAGAATAAAGTCGTAAAATTGCGAGAATACAGTCGTAACATTATCAGAATAAAGTCGTAACATGAGAATAATGTCATAAAATTATGAGAAAAAACTTGTAAAATTAAAAGAATAGTTACAACGAGAATAGTCAGCATTACTTGAATAAAGTCGTAAAATTGCGAGAAAAAATAATGAGAATAAAAACGTAACATTATGAGAATAATGTCATAAAATTATGAGAAAAAACTCGTAAAAGTACGAGAATAGTCACAACGAGAATAGTCATAACATTACGGCAATAAAGTCGTAAAATTGTGAGAATAAAGTCACAACATTACGAGAATAAAGTCATAAAATTGCCAGAATAAAGTCGTAACATTATGAGAATAGTCACAACGAGAATAGCCATAACATTACGAGGATAAAGTGGTAAAATTGCGCGAATAAAGTCGTAACATTATGACAAACAGGTTGGATTTTATGGCAACTCTTACAAGAAGCACCTTCTTCACTAAAATGTGAAATGTCGAGCATCATGGGAAGTCATACTTTGACTCTGGTTTGACCAATAAGGAAATCTTTTAGCACCAGCATCAAACTGGGCAGGATGTCAAAGTGGACTCAGGTTTCTGATTGGTGGAGTTGGTCGGCCATCATACGCTGGTCGGAGCTCAAAGCTTTCTTTCTGAAATGGGTTGTAGTATGATGACCTTATTCTCGTAATGTTACGACTTTATTCTCAAATAAAAAAAAAAGGTTCTCTGAGGGTCCAAAACTCTAAGATCAGATTTAATGGAGTTCTATCAGCTTCCATCTGAACCAGAACCATCGCCGTTCTGAGAGGAATATGTGAAGTGACCGAACCAAGGTAAGCAGACCAAGCTGACAAATGGACCAGATCAGAACCATAATCCTATTTAGTGACCGGTTGAACTTGGTTCTGGGGGACTAGAGCCTCCAGAATGAATCACTCTCTTGTTCTGGACCTTCAGGTCTGAGTTGGTGGATAATTGCGTCCAGCTCAACAGGAGGTCCAGGTCTGGTTCCGAGTCTTACCGAGCATGTTGGACGATTCAATCAGGGTGGTGTCCAGGTCGGCCCAGTAGAGCCGCCGCTCTGCGTAGTCGATGGTCAGTCCGTTGGCGCGGCCGACATCCGACACCAGCGTGATGCGGCCGGTTCCGTCCATGGCAGCCCGGTCGATCTTGGGCTTCCCGCCCCACTCGGTCCAGTACATGTACCTGCAGGGATCAGATTTAGAACAGGTGATAACAGGAAGAGGAAACATTGGGCCAAAGAAGAACTCCTTCAATCCTCACCCCTCAGCTGGATCCAGAGCCAGAGCTCTGGGACTGTCCAGATCCTTCCAGACCAGAACCTGCCGGTGCTGTCCGTCCAGCTTGGCCACTTCGATGCGATTGGTGCCGGTGTCGGCCCAGTACAAGTTCTTCCCCAGCCAATCCACCGCCATCCCCTCGGGATAGTCCAAGCCGAACTGGACCACGTGCTCCAGAGCGCTGCCGTTCATGAAGGCCCGGCTGATGGTCTGCAGAATCACAGCGAGTAAGAGTCCTGGTTCTGAACTGAAGCCGGAGATTCTAACCAAACCTAGCCAACAAACCCACCTTCAGAGTGATGTCGGTCCAGTAGATCCGGTTGTCGGTGACATCGAAGTCTAGCGCCGAGGCCTCCTTCACGCCGGTTAGCGGGATGGCCACGTTGTTGTTGTTGGTCTCCAGGGAGATGCGGCGGATGTCGGTGTGGCGGGAGAAGAGCAGGAAGGCCTCTGGGACGATGCAGGTCTGCATGTCGGCGATGAGCTCCAGGCCGTTGGGACAGCCGCAGTGAACGCCGTGAGGCGTGTTTAGGCACAGGTGACTACAGCCGCCGTTGTTCTCCACACAGGCGTTGGTCCCTGAACACCAGCAGAACCCCGGTCAGTTCCCTCAGTCATACCAAAATAGATCAGCTTCTCAAGCTCCCAGCAAACCTAAAGCTAGCAGCGCTCCAATGGGTTCATCGTCACCTGGTGACATCATCGTAGCGTAAAGCTGAAGGTCGTCTGCATAGTTAAAGAGCCCAAAACGTTTCCTGGTTTCTTTTAGAGTTTAATGTTATTTTATTACCAACCTAGTTAGGCCCCTCCCTCCAGTGATATCATCTACACGCCTGTCACCCTCCCTGGACTCACCAAAGGACTCGTGCACGCGCGTGGCTTTAAGGCCCATGAGGTCTGGCAGCTGGTCGATGATGAACTCCCTGTCGGCGGTGTGTTTGTGGACGCGCTCGATGCTGCGGCGCTGCCAGTCCGTCCAGTAGATGTAATCGCCCAGCAGGCTGAAGCCAAAGATGTGGGGAAGTTTGTCCTCCACCAGCACCCGTCGGCCCGTCCCGTTCATGTTCATGACCTGCAGACAGAGTGGACAGGTAGGAACAGGTAAGCAATCGTGTGGGTTCTGTTGTTCCAAACCCTCTGAGGAAATATGAGGGTTAACAGTTAGAGATAAAGTACGTTTTTACTGTAGGGATCTGAAAGGTTTGCAGATTAAACTGTGAAAACATGTGGAAACTTCTGAGCAGCAGAACTTTTGAGATCAGAACCAGCAGCAGAGAGGTTGCGTGCCGTCTGGTCCGAGGCAGAATTAGCAGGAGCCGTTCATTCCCAGCGGGTGGTGCGTGTCTGCTAAGCACGCTAAGAGCTGGCACTGCATCGCTGCTAATTAGAAGCAAAGAGAAGCATTATGAGGAGGCCACATTTACTCAGCTGTGATTTCATTTCAGCTGGAACTTTGAGGAACCGGGCCAGGCCACAAAGTGGACATGCAGACCCACTAACCGTAACCCATCGGCCTCTGGAGCTGCAGGACCCTCAGTGGGTTTAAATTCCATTCTGACCCATCGGGATCTTTTAAAACCTCCCATCCCTCAAGATGAACTTCCTCTCCTCGTCCTTCTGCACATGTCTGATTAAAACTGCGGCAAAAACCCTCTTTTTGTAATAACCAACAGCATGAGACAAGGTCGCACCTAAACTGTGACAGATGTTCCCCAGATGTTGGAGCAGAGACTGGCACGCTAAGCTCCGGATCTTTCTGCAGCTATTTATAAGCATGCAAACAGGTAAACATCTCAACCTTCAGGTTGAATTAAACCATCAACCGTTTCGGACAATCTGGATTCCAGGCGTTTCTGTGTGGGAATAAAAACAGCCTTTGTCTGGATCTGGTTTGAAAAGGAAATATGGAAGAATTCAACAGAAGAGTTGTGTTTAACCTTCCAGTTTGCAGATGCTAAATTGTCACTAATTCAGATATTTCGATGATTAATCTTCAAATACAATAAATAAAAGTCAAAATCCTGAGGTTGGAGATGATCTGTTCATTCCACGAACTTTATTAATAAGTGAAGCTGGAGGTTGTCTTTAGCACGGCCAGACCAAACTCTAAACCCTGCTTAGCGATGATCGGGTGCAGCTGCTCGTCTCCATTCGCCGTATAAAAGCATTAGCTGACTGGACTCAGAACAAAGGGAACATTAGAAGACCTATGAAGTAGAACCAAGGCTATAAAATAAAGCTACACGTTAACTCCTCCCAGACATTAGGTGGCGCACACAACCGCTCCTGTTCTGTGCTGCTCGCCAGCTGACTGCCAGAGGCTAGCATGAGCAAATACTTCACTCTGCTCAGAAATATTTATTGCTGTAAATACAATACATTAAAATACTGTAAACTGTTTAGTTTTTATAATTTAAGCTAAATTTTTGTCACATGGACAATCCGTGTATGGTTCGTTTTTTGGTTTTTTCGTTTCAAAACAAAAACGAAAAAAACAAAACAAGCATGTGGTTTTTTTGTTTTTCCCGTTTTTAAAACCTAGATCGAAAAAAAAGAAAAATCGAATTCATTGAAAATCAACAGCGTTTGAGTTTTGTTTTGCCATCTAAATGAAAACAAAATGCGGTTGTTGTTTTAATATGTAGCGGTACCGGAAAGGAAGTAAGTCGCCAAAGAAAAATCATTTACAGTGGATGAAGACGGCATCAAAACAAACAGTTTCTAAACAAAAGGCAATGGCTGCACTTGATTATCGAACTTTTTGAGAGAGGAAAAACACACTCTGAAATCAGTGATGTGTTCTTCTTCTTGTGGAATGTAATAGCGGTTGGCAAGAAATTGAAGGCGTACATTACCGCCACCTACTGGCAACTAAAAAATGTATGTGTTGGGAGTTCAGGTCTTCATTTTCGGTTCTGCCATAAGGTCCGTTGAATTAACAACAAAATAAAAGTTTGTCTTTGGTTTAACCATTGCAGTTAAAAAAATCCCAAAACGTACCCTTTTTGCATTTTTGCAAATGCCGTTTTTCTAATTTCGTTTTAAAAACGGAAAAACAAAAAAAACCACATGCTTGATTTGTTTTTTCGTTTTTGTTTTGAAACGACAAAACCAAAGCACGAACCATACACGGATTATGGACATTGCCTGCAATGCGTTCTGTGTTAAAGTCGTAGGGAAATCATATTTAAATGTCAAATCATTCTGGCTTAAACATGTTTATAAATGTCCTCTTTATCAGACCATATTGTCCCAAAATTTAGAAAATTTCTATTAAAAAAAAAAAAAATCCTGTCAATACGGAAAGCTGCAATATCGGTATCAGATATGAAAAAGTTGCATCCGTACGTCCCTAAATGGTAGCCTTGTTGTGTTTACTATGTAGGTTCCAGTCCAGTGAGACCTAAGCCGATCATTAACCCAGCATGCATTGCTCATATGAGAAAAATACTGACCTCCATGGCTCCAAGTATACAAAATAATATTTAATTCTTGAAGTAATTATGAGTTTTATTTTTGACAAACAGCATCTTTTAAGGTATTAGGAAAACTACAGCAGATTTCAATCAACATGTTTAACAAGTCATAAATCCCTTCAAGTCGGCACAAAGTTCAAAAGCTTGACAGACGTTCTCCCCCATTTTGCTTCTTTTTTTGTCTTGAAAATGAGAAATATTACACTGAAGAAGAAGCCATTTCTCAGCTCCATCACAGAGCTACTAGGATCTGGGAACGCCTGAGCCCCTAGAATTAAACTAGTCCCATCGGTGAAGGGTCCTTTTGTGTCTATATTAGCATCATAACCAGGAGTAAATATTTATAGACTTTGGGTCCATCATAATTAATAAAAGTCAGCTAATTTGCGCAACCAGACAATCATCCGGGTCGCCCTCGATTTTATTTTGTAAAAAAGACCTAAATCTCGTTTTTCCATCCACAAAAATAGCAGGTGCAGTCAAATATAATGTGTTAAAGGTTAATAATGTATATCCTGAGAAAACAAACGCCTTAAAATCCTTTGTGTTTTATTAAACCTGATCTGCACCGGAAATGGGATCCTACGCTACCTCCGGGAGCTAACTTTTTCAGCTTTGGATTTAAACAATCTAGTTTTTTTTTTTTTTTTTATGTTTTCGTTCCATTTTAACCTTATTGGCTATAGTGCATAATCTAAAGAGAGAAAGAACTAAAATGGAGATAAACATGTTTAATCATATTTTGCCGGACTGCTCTGAGCATGTCCGATGACGTCAGACAAGCTTTTTAACGGAGAAAATGTAAAAAGGATCAAAATTGTCTAATAAAAACATGTGTTAAAGATATGTATTAGCGTTCTTTAGTGAGTTAAGGATAGAAATAAGTTATTTTAGAACCATAATTACATTATTTATGGAAACCCGGATGTATATCTGGTTGTTCAAAGAAGCTGATCGTACGGATCGTGCTTCCGGGACGGATCAGGTAGTTTCACCACCTTTAGCCAGAGAGAGATCTGCAGCTGGTTGGATGGTCAGAAGACACGCAGGTTTACGGTTCAAGCTCAGAAATCAGGATGAGGCTTCAGACCTAAGAACAGCACCAGCAGCAAGGCATGGTGGTGGCAGAATCATGCTTTGGGTTAGTTCACTACCACTGGTGGACAAACCCACAATGGTTCTGGATGGAGAAATCGAACAGCTATAGAAAACAGGTCGACTAAAAGCATGAAGAGCAGCGGCGAACGATCTGCCAAAAGGCTTCCAAACATCCGCATGAACAGAATCGGACCTGGTTTTATAACCGGACCATTGTGAGCCGGATCATCGTTTATTATAAGGCTAAAAATGAATCCAACATCTCTGATGATAGGCGGATAAAAGATCTGATCCTGATGGAGTCAAATTCCTTCTGAAGTCATCACGCCAGGAATGAAAGGAATTCTGTCTCCCTAGAATAATCGGGAATACCAGCAGATCTTGGAATCAACAGTCCTGCTGACTCTCAGCTGTGATCAGAGGAGAAACGGCCCACCTGGTTTCACCAAAATCAAGGACCCGCCCTGAACCTGATCCTTAATGATAAGGATTCTGGAAGCAAAGACTCAGCAGAGGGAAAAATGTCAGGAATCTGCAGAAACACGGAGCTGGCGAGGCTGTAATCTGCGCCGCGTGGAGCGCCGCCATTGGCTGCTGCCGGGACGGCCCCGCGTGGCGCTTCGCCATCCCTCCAACGTCCTCCACACTCAGACTCACTGGAACGCCGAGTATAAATAACAAGCCGAGTTTCCATCCTCGGAGCGACGGCCTCAGCCAGAAGGTCTCCGCTGGTTTGGGAGTTTGACCGCAGAGCGGCGACGGTTTCAGATTCTGGGTCTATTCTAAACAGAGCAGACCACAGCTGGAGTGCAGGCCACAATCGGAACCAGATGTGGGCTCTGAGTGCTGTGAGGAGCCTGAGGGGGGGAGGGAGGCCCAGGTGGAGCCAGGCCCAGGTGGAGCCCTGCCTCCCCGAGGAGGAATAATGCAGCCCAAGAACATGACAGGAGGTGTTCCCTGGAACGGACAGAAGCTCCAACAAAACCAGAACAGGCTGATCCCGGAGAATCTACGGAGGAAGATCCAAACATCTGCTTCTTATCCTGACTGACTGAAAATAGCGCGACAAATGACCATAAAAAAATAAAAAATAGGAGTTCTCCTTTCCTCTATGATTGAAAGAAGAAATGACTGCAGAACAGCACCGAACCCAGAACCCTACAAAGGTTCCGTCTATGGATGTAAGCTATCAATAATGAATTAAACTAAAATTAATTGATCTCATAATGACTATTAATTGATAATCAGCCATTTTCTTAAAAACCTGTATACATGGAGGGGTATGAAATTGTCTTTTTAACTATTTATTTGTATGATCCAGCTGCAAATAAGTATTTAAACATGTCTATCAGCTAGAATCCTGACCCTCAAAGACCTATAAGGCTACGTTCACACTGCAGCTTGAAGTGACCCAAATCCGCTTTTTTTGGCCCGTATGCGACCTGGATCTGATCTTTTTATGGCAGTCTGAACAACACAGATGCAATTTTTTCCAATCGAACCCAGGCCGCATGGCAATGTGGTCCTGAATCCGATACGAATCTGATCTTTTCAAATGCGACCTGTGTCTGAACGGCCAGGTAGCATTCATTCAACCTGAACGCCATTAGTAACCGACATATGTCACTATTCTGCTTCTCGCTACACAGAAGCAGCAAGAAAAACAACAACCACAGTGGACGATGATGAGGAGAGCAGTGTTTATGTTTAACCATCTTGAAAAGATTGAGGTTTTAAGGTTTGGAAAGATTGCTAGATGCGCTCTAGCACCACATCGATGTTTACTTCCGTAAACACAAAGCACGCTAGCTTGTGACGTAATTGAGTCCTCTACCGCGCATGCCATGCTGCTGCGTCCTGTTTGGATCATGGCAGCAGCGGCAGGGTCTGAGAACCTGGAACGGTCCAGTTCTCAGACCCTGTTCGTCCACCTGGGAAGTGACGACGAACTGACTATCTGTGCCATCCGCGCGCTGAACTTCCGCTCCGATCTTCCAACTGTGCTTATGCAGAAATGTCTTTGTGCACGTAGCTCAAAGTCTGCGCTTCACGCTCCACTCTAATGGTTCTCTGTCAGCAGTACGGCTCTTCCTGCTCTCGCTACTTAATAAACTATATGTGGCTGATCATCCTCTGCCAAGCGTTAAAACATCCCTTTGTCTAACTATCAAGATTTTATTTCTTCCAGCTCACAAGAGGTGATGCTAAATATTCTTTAATTTCTACCGAAAGGAATCCCTAAATTTAACCAAATAAAATACATTGAATTCTGTTCATTTTTGGATAAAGTGCCCAATGAAGAGCTATATAGGTCTTTGAATATTTCTCTCTTATTGTTCTCATTTCTATCTATTTAAATATGATGTAAATGTTTTCATGTGTTGTTATTAAAAGATTTTCTATGTTTCCTTTAAATATTTCAACATTTTAGTTAGCATATGCAGGTTCTATCTGTATTTTTTATTTTTTTTTATATGAAAAGCCTGTGAATTTAAATCTACTTTGAGCCCTAAGCAGCAGTAACCAAGGGGTGAATTGAAGAAATAAAGCCAAAATTGCCAAAGTAGAAAGAAGAATGTTTTTGTTCTTTACTTTTTTGGAGTAATTCAGATTTTATTGATCTGTGTGTAAGGCATTATTCATAGTAGATCAGGAAGTGTTTGCTTTGTGATGGAAACCTTGTATGTCTAAAACCATTCCTTTATTGTACATTTTGTTAGCTTGTCTGTCTGCTATATTGACCAATATGATGTGTTGAACTAGATCTGCTATTTTCACAGCTTTTGTATAAAGTATGGCATTAATTCATAAAAATGTTATTTGAATTCTACAAATCTAAGTTTTCTGCCAACAACAAAGAAAAAACGCAAGGCAACAATCCAAAACCAACCAATGGAACAACCAAGCCAAAACCGTCAGTCTGGTAAAGAATCTGGTTGTTATTGGAATTTGCAACATAAAACGGACTAAAACCCTTTTAAGTTTTAGTCGACTAAAACTATCACATAACTAAAATGTGACTAAGACTAATAATAGTTTTCGTCATGAAGACTAAGAGTAAATCTAAGATGGCTGTCAGAAACAACCCAGCAGCAGACCCATCCTGTCCCTCAGACTGACCTCGATCTTGTCCGTCTTGGCGTCTCCCCAGTAGATTTTGCGTTCGTCATAGTCGAGCGCCAGGCCGTTGGGCCAGCCCAGAGAAGTGTTCACCATCACCACTCTCTCCATCCCGTCCAGGTCGGCCCGCTCGATCTTCGGCACCTCACCCCAGTCCGTCCAGTACATATACCTGTAACCAGAACAGGAGACTCATGTAGCCGTTTCCTCTCTAAGATCCGCTCCGTTCCATCTCCTTTAACCGGACTTACCCGGCCACGGGGTCCAGAACAATCGCCCTCGGCTCATCCAGGTCCTCGGAAATCAGGATCTTCCTCATGGTACCGTTGAGTCGGGTCACCTCGATGCGATCCGTTCCCGTGTCGGTCCAGTATAGGTTCCTGGCGATCCAGTCCACGGCGATGCCGTCGGGATGGTTCACCTGGGAGGTGACGACGAACTGAGCGTCGCTGCCGTCCAGAAACGAGCGGCGAATGGCCTTCACGTCGTCGTCCGTCCAGTAAACGTATCCCTCCACCGGGTCGTAGTCGATGGCAATGGCGTGCCGGATGTCGTCCACCTGTAGGATGATGTCAGTGAAGTCGGGCATGTCCAGAGAAATCTGCCTCAGGTCAGTCCGCCGGGCCAACAGGAGCATCTGAGTGGCACCTGTAGGCGATGATATTTATTATTATATACATATAATAAAGTAATTTCTTCAATATTTCTTTATTGATTTTAGTTTGATACAAATAAATCTGTAAAAAAAGAATCCATTGATTATTTTAATAATTTAGAAGAAAATTCTCAGAGCTTTTTATATCCATCATTCCAGGATTTATACTGGATCATATTTTCTGATCCCAACAGGGATTTCCTTGCTCAGGAAAAGCTGCGCGGACTTCCTCCTCCTGAGCCACACAGAGAGCAGAGCTGGAACGCGGCCGTCAGATTCCCCTAAATGAGCCTGAACAACAGCCTTCATCTCAGTCGGAGGCCGCTGTAAACGCTGCAGGCCGCCAGTGAAAGGGGGCATTGTCTGCAGGGGGAGCATGTGATCCCGTCTCTTACAAAAGCCTCCCCGCCTTCAAACCTCTGCAGCCGCTCTGCAGGCCAGGCTTACCCAACCAAAAAAAATGCAAAGAAAAGAGCAGGAGGGAGGGGCCGTGCTTCAAAAGAGACGGGCCCTGCCGACGGATGGAGGAGGGGAGGGTTACCGCGACAACGGCAGGTCAGCCCAACGCCGGTCTGAGCTGCTCAGACGAGTAGGGAGCATTTTGTCAGAGTTTCTAAATCAGAATAAAAGGGAATAAATTCCGCCTCCAAACTCTCAGACTAATCGATTCAATCTGCATGTTTGGGATAAATTCCTGGAACGCCGATTTTCTTCTACTTCTGCTTCCAATTCATCAAACCGGTTCGGATGAAGCCAAACAAACTGTCCTGGGCAGAGTTTCTGCTAATTCTCCCTGGAATAAACATCATCAAACGCAGCAACACATTCCCAACATCTCCCAAAGTGAGAAAAACAGCTGAGACCCCAAACAAAAGCGTCGGCTCCAGCCGAGCTGAGAGGATCGTGTTCCCGAGACGGAAAAACAAGCAGCAGGAATCCACAGCAGCTTCATCCTCTAACGTTCTACTCAAACCAAAGGTTTCAATCAGACTTTTCTAGATTTCCTCCATTAAAACGATTTCCTATAAAGAGAGGCAGTTACTTTCCAATCACCAGCTGACATCTTGGATTAAGGATCATTTTTATTTCCAAGTTTCCCTAATTAAGGCCTCTAGAAACAACCAGTCCGGCCGATCCCTAAAATGCGATTTAAATACAGTGTGTGGATGATGCCTCCTCACCGTCTCTGCAGGTCTTCTCATCCTCCAGCAGCTGAACTCCGGTGGGACAGGCGCACCGATAGAAGGGCCTGTTGGGGGACAGCAGGCAGAGGTGGGAGCATCCTCCGTTGCTCTGGGAACAGGGGCTGCTCCTCACTGTCAAACAGAGAGCGAATCAGAATCCTTCTCCAACACTTTAAACATGTTTAGCAGGTTTAGACATACTGGGTCTGGTTTATACAGAACTGGGCTAGAAACAGAAGCTAGGAGGTTATGGTTTAAAATAAGTACATTTGTTATTGGATTGAGGAGGAGAAGACATCTTGACAATGAAATTGGAACAATTTACATTTAAGATAATACAATTTCAAGTGCATGCTATCTAATTAACCTATTTTAAGAGTAGAAAATACTGATTCCATCGGCAAACCATCTCATTTACCTACTCAAATTAAGGGTAAATACGCTTAATTTAAAACATTTTCACTTATTGCTAGATAATTTTTTCCAGTGAAGACTTTAAAACTTGGACAACTTTCTTGTCAAAATACATTTCATCCGGTTCAGCTCTCAAGATATTTTCATTTCTTAAAGTGCAGCCGTGATCAAATGTAAACAAAAGAGATGATTTACAGTTTTCCCAAGATTCAGTTTTAGATGCATAAAAGGATTCAGATACGAGAGAAATAGAGATGAGGTTTAACCCCATATAGGAGAGATGTGTTTTCTTTAATCTAACGGATTAAATGTGTTCAGAGTAGGGATGCAACGGATGATTATTACGCAAATCGATTAATCTGTCAGTTATTTTTCCGACGAATTGTTTAATAATCCGATAGACAAAGGTTCTTTTTGAAGAATGTTTATGAAATCCAACCAGGTGAAACTGAAACTTTTCCACTTTAAGAGTTCTGGATAGGGCAGATTGACAAAAAAAAGTTTTTTTTTTGTCTTAAATACAAAATATTTATACTTTTTAAATTTTTTTTTTACAATTTTCATATGATTAGTGCTCTAAGTGGGTCGCTCTTACAGCTAAAGGCGTGTTTTAGTGTTTTTATACTCCAGTTAACGATTCATAGATTGCTAAATTAGTTGAAAATGATTTAAATATTCGGATTAATCACAATTAATCGGATTTAATTATTTCAGCCTTAGTTCAGAGCTTCAAAGGTTACACAATATTTTTGGAAAAACATGTTTTTAATAAATGTGCCATTTCAAAATTTGCAAATTTGAGGAAAATTATCTTTAAAAAATAATTTTGTGATATTTAGATTCAATTTATTCATAAATTCCATTAAATTGGTCAGTGGAGAAAATACTAAAACATACATTTATTAGTATATCTATATTCAAAAAAGAAAAACGTCTAGCTTGTTATCGGATTTAAGCAAAGTGAAGAGGAGCTGATTCAAGGGTCTAAAGCAGAGGTCACAGATTGGCGGACCCCCCCGATTTAAGACATAAAGTACCACATGTTGCCCAATGGCATTGTCTAAATTCACTTGCGCCGCTTCTCTTGTTTTTTTAACGGTAAAGCACTCTGGAGCTTCCGGGACCAGGTTACATGTGATCCAAATGATCCAATGATAATTAAAAATGTCTCCGGACCTTTACTGGTTTTCTTTATTCGTAGCCCACTGATCTTTAAAAGGTCAGCTCTGGTTTAAAGGATGATGAGGGCGGGAGGCGAGGAAGCCTGATCTAGACCCGTCTGGGAATCTGCTTCAGTTAGATTTAAGCCCCTATGTGCAGCTTTAGATTAGTTCAAGACGTTTATAAAGTTGAGTTGAAACAGAAGACAGCAGGATTACTTATTACTTAAGTCATTTAGGTTGTATTCATATTCCTCCTTATCAGGAAGTAAAGGATAATTAATAATAACTGAATTTTATTGGTCGCAAATTGGAGAAATTCCCCTCTGCATTTAACCCATCCCCTTGGGGAGCAGTGGGCTGCCATTGTGTGGCGCCTCGGGGAGCAGGGTGGGGTTAACAATCTTGCTCAGAGAGCCAGGTGGCAGTCTGTGGGAGTGGGGCTCGGACTCAGAACCTCTGTATTCCAACCTCTATGGCCTAACCACTAGGCCGCCACTCCCCATCCCCAAAAGATAAAGATAAGTTTAAATCCAAGGCCAATGAGGCAGCCTCAGCTCCTTGGTTCTGGTTCTTTGATGCTAGAACTTCTGCAGTATGTCGGCTCAAAGGTCGGGTTCTGGATTAGGAGATAAAAAGCAGAACCCCCGGCTGGTCGAGTGTCTGACTCACCGACGGGTTGTCTCTTAGGGCTGAACACGTGAAGGTCCATGGGGGAGAAGATGTGGGAGTGGACGATCCGCTGCTCTCGACCCGTCTGCTTCCTGCAGGAGTGGATGGAGTGGGTGTTCCAGTCGGTCCAGAACAGCGTGTCCTCGTACAGGGTGAGGGCGAAGGGGTGAGGCAGCTCCCCTTTAACCACCACCTCCCTGCAGACACGTCCCACACATCAGAACCCAGCAGAACCAAACCTCAGAGCCTAAAGAAGCAGAACGTACCTGGAGGATCCGTCCAGGTTGGAGCGGTGGATGAAGTTGTGTTTGGCGTCGGCCCAGTAGAGTTTCTGCTGGCCGTAGTCCACCGTCAGCCCGTTGGGCCAGTGGATGTCCTTATCGATGATCATGGAGCGGTTGGTTCCATCCATCCCAGCCCGCTCGATCTTAGGGACCTCCCCCCAGTCCGTCCAGTACATGAACCTGAGAACAGAGGCGGAGCTGAGTGACAATGGACCTGAGAACTAAGACGGAGTTCTGAAGGTCGGATCCGCTTATGAGGCCTGTCGATGTTTCCTTTACATCAGTCTGCAGCAAAACCGCCCCGGTTCGACTCGACTCGACTCCCTCATTAGCCCACACAGCTTTACCAGAGCAGGACACAGATCCAGAGTCCGGTTCTGTTCAACAACCGGTTGAAGTTCTGCTCACGGTGCGGTCCAGTTCTCAGAACAAAACAAACAAGCTGATTAGAAACATCCTGGGCTCAAAAACCGAGCCTGATCTGCAGAGGGTTTGGTACCTGATGCATCCAAGCAGAACCACAACAGCTGAGGTCAACCACAGGTCCAAACCCTCCTGCTGGGTTCTGGATCTTAACCCGGTCCTTCACAAGGACAAGATGCGATACCGAGGCCAACATGGGGTTCAAAACCTTAATGAATAACTGGAGCGGTTCAGACAACAGACTGGGTTCTGACTGGGGTTCCTTACTCTAGTCCGGTCCGCTTCCAGAAGAGACCAGAACCATACATTTACTGCATGATGAATCGGGACCAGAACTCAGATTAGTGATCGAAACAAGAATGAAATCTAAATAATTAGCAATGAAAAAAATAAAATCACTGATCAACTGTTGACATGAAACCCGGTTCTGGTTTGGAAACAGTCGGACTGATCGGAGTCACAGTTTTCCCAGAAATGACCTTCCCATGTCCACAATGCTGTAGGTTTATGCTCAGAATCCAGGTCGTCTGCGCAGACACTCTGCTGCTCCTCTCCAAAATTTCAGGTGACCACAGACAGGAGGCCTCCGATTGGTCAAATCTACATCCACTCTACTCTAAGCATATTTCCTGTTTGGTATCTTACCGGCTTGTTTTGTTTCTATGACCTCCATTGTGGAAAACGACTCATAAAGATGGACCGGCTAGAAGAGCGAGGTGCGTAGAACGCTGGCACCCTTTCTCTGCCTGGATCCCTGCACTTTTTCGCCCTCATGTACAGTACCTCCATTGTCGCACAATCTTGTCCCTTGCATTTTTCCACTTCCTCACCGCCTCGGCCGTATCTAGACCCACAGTTAGTTCCCGATTGTCCCTCCTGTGTTGTAGCGTGGAATAACATAGCGTAGACCACGCTTCACTATTAGGCATAAATCAACAATAACAAGCTCACTGCGACACACTGCTAAGGAAGGATAAGCAGCCCTTAAGAAGACCGGTGCTCTATCAAATGATAATACCCGTTCAGGCCAGCACACCCACAGTCAATACCAATTTATCCCTTTAGTTTATCCCTTTAGTCATGTACAAAAAAAAAATTTAATTACTCATTTTTTTTGTGTTTTTTTTAAGTGTATGGCCATCAGGCCTTAAAGCTACAGTGTGTAATAATTACAGGGATATACAGTCAGAAATGTAATATAT